AAAAAAAAAAAAAAAGCTCAAAAAATTACATTATCTTTACTTTTCATGAGAGTTTTCTACTGCGAAATATACCATTACTGTGAAGGGGTTCAATTTATACCCTGATATGAATTTGAGGTCATACCGCCCAGCCCTAACTTAACACACAGGGTGATTGTAATTCATCTCAAATATTAAAATAATTGGTAAAAAAATTTTTTTTGATATTCACATGCAGACATTCCTCTTTGACATCACTTCCTGTTATTTCACATGCAAATATCTCAACAACTGTCCAGAGCAATGTGAAATTTGTTTTGTAATATGTTAATAATGTTGTCTTTCCAAAAATACATTCACTTTTCTTACATTTTACTTCACAGGCACTTCAAGGTTTCATCTACAGCAAATTGGGGTTAAGACCCCACTGTGGGTCCTAAAACTCCAAATGTTGGGTTGTTAGAGGATTTCCAGAAATTAAATTAAGTTTAAAACTGACTGCTAAGAATGTTTCTGTTATAGTTAGATATGGATAAAACAACTGGTCTATTAGCAACATTAATACTTAAACAAAAATACTTTGGTTTATGAGTTTCTGCCAGTTTTTATTTTTTTGTCATTAGTTTTTTTTATGAAATTGGTCTTAAATTTAATTTCACTTGGCATTAAAAAGTCTTAAAAAGTCTTAAATGTAACTTGCTTCAAACTGTAGGAACCCTGTACCTGTAATTAACTGTTTGCAGGTAAGCAGACGATGGGTTTTCCTCTGCACTCCTTCACGGATCGCTCCGATAACAAGCTGTACCGGCTGCTGACCCCCCAGAGCCCACTGGTCAGGCCCTGCATGTACGACCGTTACAGCCTGGACAACTACCCCAGTGGCACCAACGCCATCGTCGCCGTCATATCGTACACGGGCTACGACATGGAGGACGCCATGGTGAGTCAGGCGGCTCCTCGGAACGCTTCGGTCGGAGCGAGGAGCTGACGCTTTTTAACTTTTCCTTTAGATCGTGAACAAGTCGTCGTGGGAAAGAGGCTTCGCCCACGGAAGCATCTACAAGACGGAGTTGGTGGACCTGGGGGACAAGGTGCGGGGCGAGGACAGCGTCGTGTTCGGGAACAAGCCGGGAGACCCCAAGGTGAACGGGAAGCTGGACTCTGACGGGCTGCCTTACATCGGATCGCTGCTCCAGTATGGAGATCCGTTCTACAGCTACATCAACCTGAACACCGGTCAAACCTTCGTCACCTTCTACAAGTAAGACTCAAAGTTTGTGTTTGGAGTAGAAATCGACCGACACGGGTTTTTGAAGGCCGATACCGATTATTGTGACATCAGTRTAACTGATACGCTGATATGTACAGATGATTCTTGAAGCCGATGCTGCTTTTTCTTCCTCCGTTAACATGATAAAAATAAGAATAACAAATGTTACACAGGTCTCANAAAAAACAGGATTTTGAGCAAAAATAATTAAATTTTTGCCATTTTTTTCTGCAAACTAACAAAACATTTGATTTTTCCTGCTGGTAAGTTTTAATATCCAAACACTGAAGTTTCTTCTTTAAAATGATGTCACAAATTCAGCTTTAGAAAAACCTAAAATTATGAATCAAACTAAATATTAACAAGTTATCCTGTTTATGAGGACAAATCAAGGAGTATTTCTGAATGTGAATTCAGGTCAGTTCTCTAAATTGTTTCAGTTTCTATTCATGAGGTTCTGAATCCATTAATCACAATGTGATTCGATTTGATTTGCTCTTAAATAATGAAAATGGTTCAAATCTGTTGTAAAATACAAATTATTTTTCTCTTCACCGTAAACAGGTTTTAAGAGCAAACTTATAAATTAAACAGTTTAATCTTGAAACCAAGAATTTCAAATGTTTTAAATTAAAAAGGAATTGTGACAGTGTTGTAAGACTTAACTGCAAGTTTCTAGTCTGTGMATTCACTGACAATGGCAATAAAACTGATTCTGATTCCGAAGAAATTAAGAATAAWTTTCTTGAWAAATAAGAAGCAATGGCATAAGGCTGCAGGAGAATATAGATATACTTCTGTTAGGGCTGCGCAGTATATGCGGTAGACAGTAGGAACAGTATGAAGTTGGCCTACGGTAGAAATTTACTCTCTATCGTCATATTGTCATTACATCATCGCACCTGTGTGAACAGGGCTGCGAGTGCAGAGTCAACTGAGCAGGAGGAGTTCGAAATAAAATGGAGAAATTATAGCGTTTTAAAACACGTAAASAGAATAAATCCTCAAAATTTCCCCCTCCCGCTGTAGAAAAGTTACGTCGGGATCATTGCCTTCCTCCCTCCCGCAGCATGTCGCACAGAGCAAAGCTTTAATAACAACAGTTTTTTCACACTCAAGTTGTCAGAGAAAAAACTTGTTTTTATGTAGTTACCCACAGAGATAAATAAAGACATGGACGTTCGTTCAGTCATAAATCCGTCTTGCTAATGTAAAGTCGGCTTCTGCTCTGATGATGAAGATGATGAAGATGAGGGCGCAGCAGCTGAGAAGTTCAGCAGATATTAAAGCAAAAATGTTGGGTTTAATTAAGATTAGTTTTCTGCAAAAAAAAAAAAAAAGCTCAAAAAATTACATTATCTTTACTTTTCATGAGAGTTTTCTACTGCGAAATATACCATTACTGTGAAGGGGTTCAATTTATACCCTGATATGAATTTGAGGTCATACCGCCCAGCCCTAACTTAACACACAGGGTGATTGTAATTCATCTCAAATATTAAAATAATTGGTAAAAAAATTTTTTTTGATATTCACATGCAGACATTCCTCTTTGACATCACTTCCTGTTATTTCACATGCAAATATCTCAACAACTGTCCAGAGCAATGTGAAATTTGTTTTGTAATATGTTAATAATGTTGTCTTTCCAAAAATACATTCACTTTTCTTACA